AGTTCATTGTAAGTGGAACATATTGACATCATTTATGACTATTGAAGTATGTCCTTTGCTATTAACCCTCTATTCTTGTCTTGTTAACCAGACAGTTTGTCCGTGTTCGATTATTAGTTAGTTTTTTATCTACAAATATAAAGAAAACCATTGCTTATTTTGTTTCACAACGTGTTTAAATATTTAGAAGAAATAAAAAACTGAGGTCCCATTTCGAATCCCGATCAGGTCAATATAGAAAAGAGGTTTTATACATTGTTAAGGATCTGCACCTTCATCTTAAAAATAGTAGATCTGTATCCTGTAAGGATGTTGTACTTTAATTTTTTGGGACAAAGTTAAGTGTTAAAAGCTATAGTTTATTTAAAGAGTTATTTAAGAATTTATAAAAGTTAGTTTTAAAGAAAAATACTTTAAAAATCTTTCTGGCACTCTGAGATGGGACTCGAACCCATGAGCTTTCGCAATCCAACCGACCCCGATTGCTAAAGGTAGCATCAGTATCGTCAATGCAATATTGCTCAAATATAACAATGTAATGCTGTTTAATATTTTTTTAAGTTGTAATTTATTTTTTACCCTTGCGTAATTTTATTACTGCGTTTAACCTACACCCCTCGGTGTAACCCTAACGGAACTATCCGATCTATCGATTATGTGTAATCATAATAAAAAATATCAGTTATTTACGGAACCCATTAGCACCTCCCCGCAGGTCATATCCGGTACGAAATCACAGGGTCCAACTAACGCTACGAGATGACGAGGCGAAGTAACTATAGCTCATTAATAAAAGCTAATTTAAATCTCGTATGCGATAACAGAGTGTTGTTTAGAAGAAAATAAATATAAATAAAACAGGACAAACAAACAGCATTGAACGCTTTACTATCGAGTTCATTGTTTATGAATACTTTTGAAGGAGCATTATCTTATTGAACATATTTTTGGGGTTCCATACCCAAAGAATAAAATAAGTCCCTAGTACTAAGACTCCGCTGTTCGTCCTTTTGTCGCCAGGCCGTATCTCATGAACCACGATAGCTAGACCATTGAAGTTTTTACAGTTGGTGTATTTCTGCTCCCGCTATAACAATAAATACAAAAAACAGAATAAAATAAATATAAATGGAGTCTCCATACAGCAAAAAAAAAAAACAAAAAAATCCTTCATTTTTTTCTTCCTTTTCATTCCCTTTTATTCACAAGATTCATTAAAACTGAAATATTTTCGATGTCTAAATGGTGTTCATAAGAATAATAACTCAGGAAGTGTTTGCAATTCCTTGATTAAGTTTATTTCTCATGAAGACTTCTGTTGGCTTTATATTTATTATACGACTGTGGCCGCCCGCAACTTCGTCCGCGTGGAAGTCGGTTTCCCGCAACACTTATCACTAAAGGGTATGAAAAATAGATGTTTGCCGATTTTCAGACCTACTCAATATGCTCACAAAATTTCATGAGAATCGGTCAAGCCGTTTCGGAGGAGTACAGGAAAGAATATTGTGACACGAGAATTTTATACTCGTATATATAGAGATAACAGCGAAGCAAAAAAGAAGGGTTGTCAGTTTAAACGTTGTATATACTATATGCTATGTTATCTATTTTAGATGAGAATACTTGCTTTTTTCATGATATTTCTTTAGTACGATTTCGAGTTTTTAACTCTTCCGTCATCACAACTGAATAACCAACAGAAAATATTCCTAAACAGGTGTAAACACATGTGAAAAAATGCATTTCGAAACACTATTTCAATTCAATTAGTTCAACTAAACGATTAAAATGGTAGGTATTCAACGCATGCTACTTTATTCAGCAACTGCTTTGATCGAAACACAGTTTAAGGGCAGTTGTAAACATTTAGATATGCTAACAATATATTGTAGATATGTGACAAAGAATAATTAAGATATAAAATAAATATCGACACAAAAACATAATCGATTGAAAATCCTTATTTTCAATTTTTAGTATAAACTCAAATAACATATATTTAAAACTCATAATTATTGACGTTTTGACGTCTTTCATTATTAAAAATAAATTTTATATGCATAAATTTAAAAAAAAAACCATTATTACATAGAAATTCATAGTCAGAATCGTTTTTTGGCATACATATATATGTTTTTCAAAGTACTATATATATATGTAGGTTGTTGTAATATAATTACCCGTTACGCTTTTTAGTTAGCATTTTCAATGCTAAATGAAATGTTATGCTAAATATGCCAAGTCTGTTATGCTAAATTATGTGTTTGCAATAAAAAATATATTTTTTACTACATAAATAAATATAAATAAACTGGGAATAAGAATGCAAATAAATACGTTTTTAGAATTTTAATAAGCATTTTAGAGCCTATATAAAACCTTTAATAAGCCTATAAATAGTCTCCGATGTTGGAGTCTTCCATGTGGACAAAATCAGAGAGGAAAACTATTTTAATAACTGCAAATTCAAGTGGTGTCAATAGCTTAGCGTAGTTTCTGAAGGACGGAAAATTTAAAGTAGATAAATTATTAGTCACCTTTTCGTTTCTGCGAATGTTACTTGACATCCGCAATCATAAAACATACGCGCTAACCTTTGCACTATCGATTTCCCTAATAGTTAAAGACCATAAAATAAAATCAGTTTCATTTGTATAAAGAAACCTGGCACATATACTTTATGTAATTATAACAATTGTTCAATATAAATCATCACAGAATAATAAAGTTTCGGTTACATATCCGCTTCTGTAAGAATTCTTTTACCTCCACAGTAATAATAACAAACAATACAAGCTAACCAATGCGCTCTCATGTTTCTCATAAATATAGACTATAAAGTAAAGCTTCCTCGTTTACAAAATGAACTACGTTTAACTACGCCATTTTACAATTAACAATACAATAGATACAATAGATACTTATAATAAAATGTTCAACTTAATTGAACTCATTTCACTAATACTTTTCAAACACTTGAATAATGTTATAAAAGAACTTTCACTATGTCGCTGTCCTTCCTTCCTAATAGAAAACCTAGTAGAAACATAAGCAATTGATTTTCATAGAATTCCCACTATTTATATACTTCACAAGCTGTTATCCCGCGACTTTGCCCTCGTAAATTACGCCGTACGTCACCAGCGTATGATCTACTTTTCCATAGGCGGTTTTATTTAAATTGGTTCAGCTGTTTCGAAGCCTGTTTGATGCGAAAAAACTAACAAACAATATATTCGCAATATAGCCGAGTAATTCGCACGCCGGTTTCAAGGTGTCGCCATCTCTGAGGCTAGTTCGATTCCCGGTCGGGTCAAAGTAGAAAATGAAGTATTCTATATTATCTCGGGTCTGGGTGTTGTGGTAACTTCGTTGTCTCAGATACTCCATAATACTGGGGCTTTAGCTACTCATCTTGGAATCTGAGAAATGTATGTGATATAAAAAAAAATCGAAGGTATGATTATTGATAATTGTTGTTAAAGATGTCCAAAAGAAGAAATATGGATCTAAGGATTGTTTTTATACCACAAGTAGAGTAGTTTATAGAAAAAAAATATATTTTATATTATATCTAACTGTATAGAGAATGTCTAATGATATTTTGGTATTAGTAAAAAATGTAATCAAATGCGTTGTTTCATCTAATTGATGTTAGGCCTGTCAAAGCGGCGGCGACCCTCACACGGCTGCAGGTTAGTCGCATGCCTGCAGCTGAGATATGCGCCCAGTATCATTAAAAACATTGGAAAGTATAATAATTTTGGATTACTACTTTAAATCAATATTTTGGTATGCATAAAAGGTTACAAAATCACACTTAATATTGATTAGTTTAACATCGGGAAACTTTAACTACTTTATGTATTAACAAAATAAAAAAAAAGCTCTTTGTTTGATAAGTTGTTAGTTTAATATTTTAAAGACATATAGATATTATCTCAATTAATTTAGGTATTATTCCATTATTTCTCTTGATTTTTATGGGTCCGGTGTTGCTGTCACTGTCACTAATTTCCGTAATGCAAATCTTGCTTCAACAGAGTATCATAAAACTACAAATTAAACAAATGATAAGGTTCATATTCACAATATGTTCTCGTTATAGGCACGGCTTGAATGTAATTAAAATTCATAGATAATAATTATATTGAGATAAATAAAGAATATTACAAAATATTAAATTAATTTATTTAGTATCTGAACCGTCAATAAATTATTTTAATTCTATAACATAAAGTTATGATATTACGATATAAATTCCAGAATGTTAACGTTCAAAAGTTTACGAAGTTTCTGGATTTCATTAAGTAAACGTCAACGTATTTTACTGATAAAGATTCGATAAACAGTCATGCGACTTTTATCCGCCGGGTTTGACTGCCTTTATGAGAAATTCTTTAAGTTGAACACTTAATAAGATACTTCTGTAAAGATAACGCTGATGTGGATTCTTAATACGATTGATTTATTTAAAGTATACCGAAATCGATAGGGGTGATCGTATGACATTATCGATATGCCTTTGTAAAAAAAAACGTTCACAAAACCGCAGTCGTTTATATTTAAAACTAGTTAAAACAGCTATAGTAAGGCGTAATCGTAAAAATAGATAGTGCTGAATACAGAAACTTTATTTTTGTTATTACTGAATATTCAGTGGTCAGTAGAAAAACTGGGCACGCGTTAACCCCCTCCTGCCCGTGCCGCTCTCCCCTAGCTACGCCAGGTACGGAGCCGCACGTACAAGGGGAAGGGATGATCGAAAATAATAGGGGAAGAGAATTTTAAAATTTATATTTTTTGCAGCCGGCGCAGGTGATATAACGCGTGCGCGTGCGCCGGCGGCTCACTTGTACGCTAAGCTCCGCCACCGCCGCTCGCGCTCCCGACACTAAGCTCCCGCGAAGCCTTCCCCTATCGCGCAGTGCTTTTCCGATCGCCGCACGAACCGGTCGTGCCCGCGAGCTCGCCCACCGTCCGCGTAAACACGCAACATGTTACAAGAGTTACAACTCGTTCAAGGTCAGACGAACTACGTGGTCGTCTCATCTGGCTACCCTTCAGCTACCGTATCGAAGGCGCCCGTTGATAAAAGGAACGTACCTATAGCACCCGCACCTGAAAAGAATTATGTTACGCACGATACGCCACCCAGTCTACAATACAGAAAAAAGGTTCATTTCAGAACAAACCCATATACTGGCCCTCAGGCCGCGTCGATTGCGAGACGAAATGCCCGCGAACGAAATCGCGTGAAGCAAGTTAACGATGGATTTAATGCGCTCCGCCGTCACCTGCCGGCTTCCGTAGTGGCCGCGTTATCAGGCGGTGCTAGACGTGGTTCTGGGAAGAAACTTAGTAAAGTTGACACATTGAGAATGGTGGTCGAATACATCAGATACTTACAGCAACTGCTGGATGAAAGCGATGCTGCTTTGGGAATTACACGTGATCAAGAAAATAGAGAAAATATTCCAAGTAACTCAGCTCAGACGATGACTTCTATAGATATGGACGATGGATTCTTCTATGGTAGTAGTTCACCTTGTTCTGATAAGCCGGATTCCCCTGCGCCATCTGAATGTTCATCGGGTGTGTCATCGGCGTATTCAGCGGTAGACCGCTATGAAGTCTCCACACAACAACACCTTGGCTCTATGGATGAAGATGAGCTTCTAGACGTCATTTCATGGTGGCAACAGAAATAGCAATCATGTAAGTTGACTTCAACAATATATTTCATTTATCGCAATCTACTTTGACTAATTTACCGATTGTTAGTATTAGTTATTCTAATTAGAATTTTAATAATCACATGTTACCAACTACTATAATAATAGATCATACTTTCACTTTAATTGATAGTTGGTTATAAATTACAATTATTTTTTTTCATAATGTCTTATTCTTTTGTTCGCAGGTCTGGTCAAGCTGTAAATTATTTCATAATGGACGAATCCCTCCGACAAGTTGTGCATTATTTATTTGCGTTGCATTTATTGCCAATAAGTACGAAAAGACTCTTGTGTATCTAGTCAAACCAGTAGTGCCTTATAATATTTAAAGTAAGTACAACTCTACTTAAAGTGTGTTGGAATATGTTGGTATGCCAATTTTCAATGAAAATTTGATTGAAATCTGAACTTTGTTACCTGTAAGTCATTCACCGAGGCTTTGTGATGAATGTTATTGTATTATATAGTATTAAAAAGGCCAGTCAAATTGTAAATATAGGAAATAAGTCTCTTTATGTTATAAGGCATAGAAATAAATTATTTATTTAATATCCAATTGTCTAAATTATTGCGTATAACCTTTTATTATTATTTTTATGCAATATCTCACCATTCAAGTGTATTAAATTAGGTTTATTGTTTAAAATTTTCTTGGTCGTTAATATTAGAATGATAGTTAAATACGGTATTGCTACTATGTACATACACTACCTTATAATTTTCCAAGTTCACGATATTTTGGCGCTTGCAAAATGATTTATATCGAACTAGAGAAATATAAAATATATGAATACATGAACTCATTGCTTTTTATTCTGTCAAAAGATAATAACACTAGGATTCATTATTTCATTGCATAATAAAAGAGTTCAAATTATTTTAAAATACATTTACATTAAATTTATAAAGTGGTTTTAAAGCATTTCTTAATTATTAAATCAAATCAGAAAAATAACGCCCTATTGATAATAAATAAAAGCAAAACTAAAAAAACCATAACGTTCCACCTTAAATTATTCGTCTGTCCAGTTAGTGGAACGTACTATCACCAATCAAAGACACAATAAAGGATATCTTCAATTCAAAAATATTCAGTCTAATTGAGTGGCTTCTACTTTTTGGATTATATTATAATTTTTATTAACTAGTTGTTAAAAAATAATAATTTTAATAATAGGTTATTGGATTATACATCAGTTTACCTAATGTAAAATTTTGATAGAAACTACTGAAATTTATAATTTTAATAAATTTTAATCTTGATAAGTTTGTTTGACCTTTTATGAACAAAAAGAGGAGAAATAAAAAAGGAATCTCCTTCAATTACAATCAAAAAGGAGAAGAAAGATGTTTGGTTAGCAAATTCATCAATGTCAGGTTTTTTAAGATAAATATAATTCAATATATGATTAGCATTGCGAAATTGATAAATATAATACGTGTTTAACTTGTTTTTTTCTTTAAATATTTATTGAATTGTCTATTTATTTTAAAAGAACTGAAATTCATGTAGAGTCTGCACCAGCCTCTTAATGAATAACAACTTACGTACCTTCCGAACCACGGAAAAGCTCTCGATAATACATTTTTAGTCACCCATCCTATGTTCGGCCCTTACGTAAGGTGCTTAACAATCGTTTCACATACCGAGCGCGCTAACCACTGCACTATCGAGCTCTTCATGAATATTCTTATAACAATATATATAAGTCGGTCAAGTAACTTTTCTTAAAAAAAAAATTCCTCGCTATAATATTGGTACAGATGAAGCTACAGATAAGTAAAAGTCTTAATAAATGTTGATAATTCTGTCTAAAGAAATTATTGTAAATTAAAATGTACTTAGTAAAGATAAAAGTAACTGGTTTTCATAATCTCTATGCGAAATATTTATTTAAATTAAATTGTAAAGCCTCAGGCGTCAGCTTACTAAAGTTCATTAAATAGTGCTTAAGTTTGTTTGTGAATACCTCGTATAAGATAAACTGTTATGTTATAATAAATATTTTACTACTAAGACATATAATACATATAAAACAACAAATTGCTGCAACAGCTAAGAGCTTTTTATCTAAAAGTTCGCAGAGAACGGTTGCTTGACCTTTTTCGCTAAATTTGTAATACAAAAATTCTGAAAAAGATATCACGTCGTAGTTTTAATTATACAGTCGATTTTTTACAAAGTTCTTATTACTTTCGATACTATACAGCATATTTCATTGACAATTTTAGTTATAATCTTAAAAGATAAAAATTTAGCTCTCGTCTTAAGCATCTCAGTTAATAATTATTTTTCTGTAATGTAAAGTATTGTATCAGTATAGTATTGTAAACACACAATTTATCAAATATCTGTTGGTTTGACATCAATAAGCATAAGAGAGGGAGTAAAAAAAAATCATTAACCTTTAATGAGTTCTGTATAAAAAAATATCGTCCAAATAAACTTTAATTTTAAAATGAGAAAATTACATCATATATGTTTATATTGATTTTTTTTTATATTATAAATTTTTAAAATAATCATGATGATTTGCGAGTGACTAATTTAAAATAAATATTAGACACGCAATAATTACTCCATCCTGTGTTTTTCTTTTGTTTGTTTGGTGTTTTTATCAAAGTTGTAATCATAAAATAATGGATTTGATTTGATTCAACATCATATTTTATAAGTTACGCATATTTTTCATTTTTCCAACCAATGTTTTGGAAAAGACGAAAACTAAATATTCTATTATAATGGAATCAAATTTGTGGCTGTGTAGGCTCGGTCTCTTTTCCTTAGAAAATTTTAAAAAATACAGACAACTGTCAAATGCAATGTCGCATTTATTAAATCTATACATTCCCTTTACAATTCCATCTAAAATAATTTTAATAATAGTACGTAAACGTACAATCCTATCCTAGTTAATTTTGCCTTAGATCATAAAATAATTGTCATAAATATCCGCAAGTGCAGAAGTAAAACTAATATTTAAGAAGGAATGATTGTTTATTATTAATTTATTATCAGCAGCTTTCAGTTTTATAATGAATGTTACTGTTATCCACCTATGCAACTTAGGTCATAAATATGAGCACAAACCGAAGAACAGAACATAACGATCAAGGTGATGTTCAAGAACCTTTTGTTTCTTGGACTGTTAATAACCCTAACCCACATCAAACGGTTGCACAGCCAAGCACTATCAACATAAGACATGATCCTAATCGAATATTTAATGCCTATATTTTTTCAAGTAGGTAAAGTACCTATTCCTTTTTCCAAATATAAGAGTGTGACATATTAACCTGATTTTATAATGTGACAAATTATTATTGTGTTTGGTTATAGATTTATCCGCTGCTGTCACATCATCACGCAATACCCTATCTAGATCAAAGACATTAATTTTAGTTCTCATAATTGTTATTTGTTCTTTACTAATGTTCGGTCTTGTTTACAACCAATTACCAGAATAAGAAAGGTAAGAATAATTTTAAAAAAGTCATTCATATTATACTTATTCATTATGACTATAAAGTTAAGTATATATTTTGGACAAGAAAAAAATATATTTACAATGACCATGGATTAATATAATATAATACAATTGGGTTTGGTGTTAATTCAATGGCTTCTTTTTAATATCCTTATTTGACTTCTTTAAACGATCACACATAATTTTTATCATGAACTAAAACTTATAAATCTAATACTATAAATTTTCAAACGTCAATTCTAATATCAAATTTTATTCAATAATATCCTTAACCTGTCATAACAGTTTGCAGACTTTTGCAATACCGGAATCTATACTTCTCTTTTTCTTTCAGGAATGTCTACTTTCTGTAGTTAAAAATAATATTTGATGCTCTGTTTAACGCTCGTATCTACGTTGGATCGTTGCTGGCATTCTGATTTCGGTTCGTTTTTTCTTTGCTTTTATGTGCAATCTTAAGCCGTTAATACCAAATACATCTGCTGTCCTTAGCACTCATCAACTTTGCGTAGTGTATAGCCCGTCCTTCCTGAGTTTCACTCAATGAGACATTAATAAGCTTATGATGATGAATCATTCAGATACGAAACATTTATAGAAAAACTTGATTTCAACAGTCACTTGATTGATAGAAAAAATAAAAATAGAGGATAATTAGTATTTTACGTAAAAACTTAAAGGAATTAAGTGTTCTGATAAGTCTCAGTGCGGCACAAACGACATTTTTTTTTAATTCAAATGTTAATTTTTCATAAATATTTTAGATTTATCTTGATAATTACGTCACCTTTTTTGCGTTGAATTTTATAGAAGCATTCTTCCATAGAAGACTCTAGCTATTCTTGAAACAAAAAACGGGGTAGACAGCATTTTATTGTCAAATAACTTAGGTATTTGTCAATTCTGTTATTACCCTTTGTCGATCATAAATCATTTCGCCCAGATGTGTAGAATTAGCCGGGACACGATACGATCGCGAGGAAACGTTTCCCAAAAATAATAAAAAATACCTCACACGAGCCCAATCAACTATTATTATATGACATGAGGGCAGATTCTATTAATTTATAACCAATGTGGGTGGATATACTGACATTATTTTTCCTTAGGATCGAGGACATGAGCACGAATAACAGTAATTTCGGTTTGTTTTTATTAAGTCGTCGTTATTTGAATTAGCGTGGGTACGAGTCCCGATAGTGAAACAATTGGATATTAATTGGCAGAAACAATAAGGTATAATAAGAAAATAAACTTTATTATGTTTAAACAACTACGTAACAAAGTTATTTTATGCAGTTTTATTATTATAATAATAGTTCGCTTTTATTATTTCATACGCATCCAATTACGGTAGGCTTATTATAACCAGCGAATATTATTAAGTAATTTGCAATAACCAGGATAAAGAGAAACAAATTCGTTTATCTCATCATCCAATTAAATTTAATTATAACTTTATTTTATGAATTGCTTTCAGAACGC